TGTAGTTGTGGGCACCCTCCCCTCATCTGTCTGTGGCTGATCCAGGAACCAAATAGTTCTCATTTATACTGAGAAGATATCGTTATATTGTCACTGTCCAGGCTGGAACAGCTGCTAGAACTGTTCAGAACCGTCTGTGGAGCTGGGTTCAGAACAGTGTGTGGCCCTGGTCCTGGTCCTGGTCCTGGTTCTGGTTCTACAGTGTAGAGACAGACCTCCAACAGTCAGTCTGGAAATTTAAACGGGTGTTTACAAAATGGGAGGGCAACGTACCGACTGATGTAATGCTGTTGAAAGGATTACGTCATCATTTGGATGTAGGTGGGGGTGGGGGTGGAGAAAGTAAGAAGGCTTAAGCTGCCACCTGGTGTCTGACTCACTAACTACATTTCTGTCTGTGCTGAAACAGACCAAACAACCAATAAACATTGCCAAAGTATTGTATATATTTGCGTGTTAATTGTTAATAATAATTTTATAAAAAAAAGGTAAAAATTGACCCAGTGCTGTAGAATATCAATACAGTACCGTGAAATGAAATATTGCGATATATATATTTTCTTACACCCCTAATTTGCATTATAAATATGTTGTATATAATTGGTATTATTGAACTACCAGATGGTACAGCATTATTTATATTATATTATTTATGTTACTACATTTATTATGGCTACAATATATTTATTTTAAAAAAAACAACACAGTGTCAGGACCACTTTGTTGGACCAGATGTTATTGAATCCTGGTTAGAGACAGCCCTGAGAACGACCAATAGAACGGCGCGATTACATTTTATAGCACGGTGTCCCAGAGGCGACGGACTCCATTCACATTCCAAACGGGGCGGTTTCATTTACTGACCTTGAACGGTCCTTGTTTATACAAATTAACAATGTAATGGCAGAAGGAAGAGAGTTTGATTCCCCTGCTTTGATTCTCACCTCAAGGGGGCAGGATGACCTTTGAGCCTCTGACGAGGCGGCTGATGAATTCACTTGCACGGCCATCGTGATGGAACCAATAATATGGGTATGAAATGTCTCGAAATGTCAACTTGCTGCTTCAACTTGTTGTAGAACCCGGTGAGTAATGGGTAAGGGACAGAGACGGGTGAGGAGCAGGATGAGGAGGTGTTAGGACGGGGAGGTTCTCTGGAGGTTGCTCTAAAAGCCCATATCCCCTGTGTCCTCGCCACGTCTCTGCCTCTCTCAGCAGTTTGATGCTAGCGCAGGTCAGCCTTTCAAATGTCAACCAGACAAAACCCAGTGGAATCAACGTCCTAGACCCCCCTTTCCCCCGCCCCTCCCTGCCCTCCTCCCCCCTCACCTACCGAAAAAAACGGACTACTGTCACGTTATTTTTTTCACTTTGACTCTTCCAGAGAATCTGGGTTCTAACCCCTCTTTTGTTCCGTGCTTTAGTTTGAGGCAGACAAATTGCGTTAACCCAACCAACCATGGCCCATTGTCAACAGGGGGCAGCATCTGTCCAACCGCAGGTGATGAGAGCTGTTTATATTCAGAAATATTTAACACTCACTTGACCTTAACATGGTTGACCTGTAGGTGACGGTAAAGGTTGTTAGGCTGTGGTTAATCCTGGATCTCTGTGAAAAGGGAAATTGTGGATACGTCGCAAGTAGACGACCTTGAGTTTTGATAATTACCGATAGACATTTTTCATATACGATCTCGTTAGTTTGGATTTAGTTCACAGCAGTTAACGTTGTCTTTTGTTTTAAACTGTCAGGAAGAGATAATGAGTAGAGTAGAGAAATGCAGCCCACGAGGGCTGACAGGCTGCTAACGGCCGTCTGGTTTTTCTGTGGTCTCCTCTCTCTCTCTCTCTTCACCTCGCTTCCAGAAAATCCCTGATTAATCCCCAAATAATCCTTTCCAGGGCTGCAGCGGGGCCTTGGGCCCATCCCAGGAGTCCGGGTTAGACCCAGGTCAGTTCTCCAGCCCGTCACGGACTCGCATATATAGAGACAAACAACCGTTCACACTCACATTCACACTGATGACCCGTAGTCGTCCTGCTGTTCCTCAGCGTCCCTGCTTGTTCACCTTCACAGTCCTGGCGGTACGATGATACAATATATTACGATATACAGTAGTCCCTCGCTATTTCACGGTTCATCTTTTGCAGATTCACGACATCATGTTTTTTTTTTAAAGCTGTATATATATAAAATATACTGTATCCTGGATTTGGATCTGCGAGAGATGTCACAGGAATGGGACGATGATACGGTTCGATCGGTTCAATTATACAACAAAATCGACGACGTCGTGACTGTCTACTAGCTAGTCTTCGACTGGAAAAAGAAGCAGCGGAAGCAACTGCCGATCGCAATGTTTTAGAAGCCTCGCAAAAAAGAGCCGGTTCCTGCTACTACTACTATGGATACACCTTTCGAAAACATGGAAGAGGTGCTCCAAGAAATGGCACCACCTTCTGGAGAGACGTAAAATCAATCATCAGCTGCGCTGTAAAAGTCATCATCATTTTACTGCGCATAAATACGATGTCACTACTTCGCGGAAATTCAGTTCTCACGCCAGGGCCTTGGAGCCGATCTACCACGATAAACCAGGGACCACTGTGTAGCGATACTAGAGGCGCGACAATATATTGACTGGGAATTTGTCATTTAAAAAATCAATACACTGATGGAGAATATGGATACGATATCATGAAACAAAACAATTGCGATATTTCAGTGCATTGATATTTTCGTACACTCCTATATAATATAAAAAAATGTCACCCTTCTTATTTTTTAGAAATTAAAATAAATATATATATTTATGTATATATATTTATATATACATATATAAATATATATATTTTATATATATATATATATATATATATATATATATCAAAAAAGTTAGTTTGCATACATGTTTTTTTTGTTGTGACATCCTGGACTGTTGGGGTAAGCAGCAATAGTCACACACTCACCCTGACGACAGCAGCAGTGCCACCTGATGAATAATAAATACTGTCATAATAAAGACGGACCACCGCTCACCCACTCAGCGCATGAGGTCGTTGCTTTCGTCTTAACACCACTAATTAATGACAGAATAATAAAAACAAAATCGCTTCAAATCTGCTCCGACCCTTAAATGAACCCTTAAAGGTAACAAACCTGTACCACGGAAAAACATTTCCCCAACATCCGAAGGGTAAATTAGCAAACAAAACGGGGGGCTCGTAAATTCATCCCCCGAAAGTGCTGTGAGCGGCTTCGGACAACGTGGGCCTTTTTGTTCAATCAAGTGAAAGCGCGCTGTGAGAATTCATCTTTCAACCTGATTTATGTGAGCAGTCGTTCATTTGGGAGCAGAAACAAAGAGAACACAGAAGGTCAGGATATGAAGTCCTGAGGAGAGTGCTCTGTGCTCTGCACTCACACCGACTTATATTTACTGTGTGGACGTTGGGAGAGGAAAAAAAAAAAAACACAGACTTGAGATTTTAATGTAACATCAACCTCCCGGAAAACAACATAACCTTCATTTCTTTGAGGCGCCTCTGGTTGTTGAGATAATTTATGTCCATACAGGGGGGTGTGTATTGGCAAGAATTGGGCTATACGATACGTATCACGATGCAGGGGCAACAATACGATATATTGCGATACTGTAGTCACGACGATATATTGAGGTGTTTGAGATAAAAATTAAAGCCTCAATATCTAAATATTCATTGTTTTTGTTGTTTTTTTCTCATTAAAAGAAAATAGAGAATTAATTTCTCTATGAACGTTTGAGGCAGAAACACCAACAAAATTAGAAACGTAGGGTTCAGGTGTCTATAGCTACGCTTCCTGTCAGGTAAAAAAAAAAAATAATGTCAATATTAATAGTTAGTATTTTGCCTCGACTCCGGCGATACGATACGATACGTAGTCCCAGTGTGATCCTAGTCTCAGACTCTGTTCCATCTGAACATCATGTCACGAACATCAGAACAGAGGGATCTACATTTGGAATCAGCTGTTCCAATCCACTCAGGTTCAGAGGTTCAAGTGCAACACAGAAATGAACCAATGCCATAAATAACCATCCATATCATTGTACGACAACACTTTTTTTCACAAAATGACTAAAGGTATTTCGCAAAAAAAATATTTTCAGAAAATGCACTGATCAAAATTAGAGAACACAAGTGATCAAAATTAGAGAACAACCATGACTTTGTCTTGGAAAAAAAAATCTGAAGGTTACAACAGTCAGCAATTAATAAGAAGTATACAGGCCTCTGCTGTGAATGACTTCAGCACATCTGCGGCCACAGGATAGCACTAGTCTCTCACACTGCTCTGGTGTGATTTTGGTCCATTCTTCTTCCAGTCTCCTCCACAGTTCGGTGATTGTAGTGGGTTTCTTGGCCATAACTTTGTCACCTAGGATTTTCCAGAGGTTCTCTATTGGATTGAGATCAGGACTCTGGGCAGGCCATGCCATTAATTCAATGTTTTGACCTTCAAGGAAAATCTTTACCCGTTTTGCTGTGTGACACGGGGCATTGTCCTGCATGAAGATTGCAGGCTGATTGGGCGATGAACGCAAGTGAGGAACCATGTGCTGTTGAAGAAGGTTCTGATACACATTTGCATTCACTCGGCCATGTAGCTGTACAAGAGGCCCAACTCCTGCTGCAGAAAACATGCCCCAAACCATGACACTTCCTCCTCCACCTTTCACTGACTTTTTAACACACTTTGGGTTTAGTCTTTCTCCAATGTGTCGCCGAACATAATGCTTCCCATCAGACCCAAATAAATTAAATTTGCTTTCATCACTGAAGTGAACTCTGGACCAGTTCTCCTCAGTCCACACAACATGCTCCTCAGCAAAGCTCAGTCTAGCTTTTTGATTTTTTCGGCTAATGAGAGGTTTGGTCACTGCAGTGTGGGCCTTCAGTCCAAATGCTGTTAAACGGCGAGACACTGTATGGCGAGACAGATCCTTACCATGTTCAGCACTGAAATGGCGAGCAATTCCAGCTGCAGTGTGGAAACGATTACCCATTGACATCCTCCGCAGTGACCTGTCCTCTCTTGCATCTGTCTTTCGTGGACGACCAGCCTTCTTGGGCGACTTGAATGAGTTTGTAGTTTTGTAAAGATTCAATATTCTTGAAATCACAGATTTGGAACGACCAACTTGTCTTGCTATGGCTGATAGGGTCATCCCGTTGGTTTTCATCTGGACAACCTGCTGCCGGAGGCCTTCAGTCACTTTAGAACGGCCCACCATCTTGCAAAGTCAGTGAAACTAGCAGTTAGAATGCCAGTTAAATAAGGGTTGACAGATAATCAAGGAAATTAGCACCATGTGCTTGATTAGCACCATTAAGTGGGAGGCACCTGAAAGTGTTCTCTAATTTTGATCAGTGCATTTTCTGGAAAATATTTTTTTTGCGAAATACCTTTAGTCATTTTGTGAAAAAAAGTGTTGTAGTACAATGATATAGACACAATAAAATGTCATTTAACTGTGGAACAGTGAAGATGGTATTATTTCAGATTTATTCCATTTTTTATGACTTGTTCTCTAATTTTGATCTCCAGTGTATATATATCTATACATATATGTATAGTTTTATATATATATATATACATATATGTATAGTTATATATATTTATATATATATTGACATATATGTATAGTTATATATATTTATATATATATTGACATATATGTATAGTTATATATATTTATATATATATTGACATATATGTATAGTTATATATATTTATATACATTTTGACATATATGTATAGTTATATATATTTATATATATTGACATATACATATATTCACATATGTGTATATATATTATTATATATTACAGTATATATTAATATGTATATTACATATATATGTGTATATGTATATATACAGACACACATATATACAGACACACAGATATATATATACATATATATAAATGTATAGTTCAGAATGGGTCACGGACGTTACCCGGGCGTGGGGGCAGCCACCCAAACCACACTGCACCCCCCCTGAACCTTCCTGCGGGTGGTGAGTCGGTACCAACCGTCCTAACCCGGATTCAATCTTGCCCAGGAGGTGAACCCTGGAGTTCTACACCAACGACAGAGACATTGACTCTGGGCCGCAGCGCCACCTTCCATAAACATTTGCATGTTAATAGTTAATGTAAAATCAATACATATTGAAAAAAAATATACAGCAATATTTGAATATATTTTTCTTACACCCCCTTCTTCCATATAAATGTTCCTGTTTTGATCTGAACTCAGCGTGTGTTTCTGTGTGTGCAGTCGTCGGCCGCGCAGGGGCACAGTGGTTTGTCA